GCCAAGGGTCAGTGCTCAGTTTTTTTAGGACCCTATATTTGTTTATCAGTTTTTAACAGAGTCTAGCAAAGACAAAAATGTCAGAGATCATGTTTTATCAGATTATCGCTTCATTCACAGTTGTGCTGAGCTGTGAAGACAGGCAGAAGGTTACTGCCATTGTGTAGGGTAACTTATTTATTATTTTGTCTTTTTTTTTGTTGTTGTTTTTTGGGGGTGTTGTACAAATTTTCAGGAGCAGCAGCAGAGTCGTCAGTCCCAGCTGACTCAGGATGAGCGGGTGTCCCGCTCCTATCTGGCCCTGGCTACCGAAACAGTTGAAATGTTCCACATCCTCACCAAGCAGGTCCAGAAGCCTTTCCTAAGGCCTGTGAGTGTCACTGTTACCAATGAACACTTGATGTATTCTTGAGATTTATTCTCAGTTATACAAGTAATATAAAGGAAGCATTATTTGCCATTTTCCTCCAGGCATAGCATAGAATAGGTACGTTGTCATTCAAACATACACCAGTTAGTGCACGTTAGAACAAAATGTCGGTCCATTGACTCGACATTGGACTAATGTATGCATCCATCCACCCATCCATGCATCCATCCATCTTCCCTTTTCCACAGCAATAAAACAGCAAAAAACAATGTATATCATTATTCCAGACATAATGCACTGCCATGAATATACAGTAATGTGAAACAGTCCAGGGACAGTTTCAGAATGTACCTTGTTTATGTATAAGAGGGGTGTGGGGGTTATGGAGAGTTCAACAGTCTGTCTTGGGCAATGAAACTATTGGAGAATCTATAGATGTGCTTTTCTAAACAGTGGCTTCTTCTTCACACAGGAGCTGGGGCCTCGTTTAGCTGCCATGCTGAACTTTAACCTCCAGCAGCTGTGCGGGCCCAAATGTCGGGACCTGAAGGTGGAAAACCCAGAGAAGTATGGCTTTGAGCCCAAGAAACTCCTAGACCAGCTGACAGACATCTACCTGCAGCTAGACTGTGCTCGCTTTGCTAAAGCTATAGCAGATGACCAGGTTGGCACTGACGGGAGAGGGGGGGAAATTTGATGTCCGGTCTACATTTAGTTATCCTGAATCATCTGTCGTGACTTTATTGCCGTGCCAGTTAGCATGAATTCTCTACTTCACGTGGAGAATATAGTGTATATATTTAATTCCTGATTTGTTGAGAGAACAAAGAGAACATTATGAATGATGAAGCCACATTATTGCACATTATTGTTGTCAGAGATTTACATCAGAACATATATGTATGAAATGCAGCAGTTGCTTGTTGTGTGCATTATCAAAATCTGTGTAAGTTTGAAGACATGACTTAAATTTCAAATCTGTGATGTGATGACAGTAAGGTACTGAAGACTGACCTCAGGGACTTGTTGCTCTTTGCAGAGGTCATACAGCCGTGAACTCTTTGAGGAGGTGATCTCAAAGATGAGGAAGGCTGGCATTAAGTCCTCAATTGCTATTGAGAAATTCAAGCTGCTATCGGAGAAGGTGGAGGAAATAGTCGCCAAGAACTCCCAGTCTGAAATGGACTACAGCGATGCACCGGATGAGTTCAAAGGTGTGTGAAAGACTGTGTTTAAACAGCACAACTAGAACTTTTGAATCTGGTTATGCAGCAATGGTAAAGCGAATCATCTTTCCCACAGCTGGTTTAATAACATCTCACTCTGACATGTGCTGTATCGTTAAATTAATCTATCTAGATCACTTCAGAGTAATGTATTGAGATCCTCAAATAACATCCATATAAAAATAATGGGTCACATTGCGCTGCTTCTGAAAGCATCATATTAAATATCTTTCTAGGTCTTCAAATGCAGTTTTTAAATAATATTGTCATTGTGTAAAAGACTGACCTGTGACCTCGGGTCAGTCAATGACAGACGGGATCTTTAACGGCCTCTTCTGCTATTGAATTCCAGACATGTGTGGTGGATTTTGAAGCTCACACTGGTCATCTAGACAGCTTAGTGCAAGGCTATCGAGTAACCACAGACTTAATATAATCTAGAAAGAGTATGTGGTCTGCGTGCCTCCTTTGATTGTCAGATATGCCAGCTAGCCCACCACAGTTGATGGGAGTGTGCCATACAGGAGACTTGAGTATCAGCTGTCTGTGTAGATGAAATCTCCCATGACAGGTTTTATTTTTGTAGCACCGGAGTCCTACTGTAATAACCTTGTGACATTTCAACACAGAGCCCCACGCCACCAAACGCTCTGTATCGGACTTCATGGGAAATTTTGTTTACTAGTGTTTTGATAGGTGCATCAATATTGTGGTCATATAAAACATTTTTTGGACATGTGACAGGCTCCTACACAAACCAACATGGGCACACATGTATGTCACTTGCTGATTACATTTATTTATTTATTGTTTTTACGCTTAAACAAAGAAGTTTAATTTTAATATTTTTGCTTTTAATGTTGTAATACTGGTCCCTCTCCTTGTCCAATCAGGGCGCCAGTGCTGCTGGTGATGAATCAGATTTTTAGTGTAGCATCTCGCTTGTAATTTTCTGTAAAATCTGTTTGTGGCTGTGTTACAACAGACCCTCTGATGGACACGCTGATGACCGACCCTGTGATGCTGCCTTCGGGGAACATCATGGACAGATCCATCATCTTACGCCACCTGCTCAACTCCCCCACTGATCCCTTCAACAGGCAGCCACTCACAGAGAACATGCTGGAGTCAGGTAACCCCACCATTTATCCTTTTACTTTATTTATTTTAAACAGATAATGTAAATAAGTGTTGCTGTTTAAGGTACGCAAGATAATGCACTTATAGCTGGAGGCGAGGCTAATAATTTCAGGATGCCTAAATGTCACAATGTTAATTCCACAGTGCCTGAACTGAAGGAGAGGATCCACACCTGGATGAGGGAGAAACAGGGTGGACGGGGTGTCTAAGGACTACGTCACTGATGTCTGGCTAATCATCATTAAGGGATCGGTCCAAATCACCTGAATTCAGCATCACTACTACCAATGAGAACAAAAAAAACAAACATTTTGAATGGAGAGGAAAAAAAGGAGACTTGATTTGATAATTTTTTTTCTTTTATTTCTTTTTTTTTCTTTTTTTTTTTTTGCATTTACCCTTTTTTGTCTCAAACCATTATCATGGTTCTAAAACAAAACATAATAAAGCTAAGACTTTTAAGTTTTTCTCATGAGTTTGTGTATATATATATATACATATATATATAAAAAATATATATATCAAAGTATATACATTAATTTAACAATAGTGCATTATAACGCTGCAGAAACCATTACCAACAGGTTTACCTGCGAGGTGCATACAGTCTCTTCATTGATCACCTTCCTTTATGGTTCTCATTTTGTTTGGTATTACTGAGTCTAGTTGGGTTCTGATAAAACTGTTAGCCTCAAGTTTTCTTTATCAAGACTTGTGACGGTAATGAGTTTGAGTCCACGTAATGTTTAATGGTGTCCCAGAGATAACTTATGCACAGTTTGTGCTTGTAGAAGAAGTTCAGGATTGGGAATACCCTAAACTAATCCTCAGTGTCAGCTTTTGTTTTGAGTAAAGTAGGAAGATGAGCTGTGGCTCACAATGATAAAGTGTGCCCAAATTTTCCTTCTCGGTCACGTTTTCCCCGCTGACTTTGATAGATTGAATTTACGTGTGTGTGTGTGTGTGTGTGTGTGTGTGTGTGTGTGTGTGTGTGTGTGTGTG